AAAAATAAAATTATACAAGTGGATACAAGTGGTTTCTGTCTCGGCGTTTTCCCTGTAAGTCTCTCGCCCCCTCCGTTATGGATTCCTTTGCGCAAACTCCATATTTCGACAAATCAATTATGACAGCATAATTGATTGAATGTTTTTCTTGTCGTTCTGGAAGCTTGAACGAGAAATGTAACGTTAATGTTTGCTTAAAATTCAAAAGGTTAAGTTACGGCAGTTACGGGGATCACTAATCCTTCGTTCCCAAGTACACACTGGAAATGCAAGTGTGTGAATGTCGCTCACCTGCAGGTGAGCGACATTCCATTCGTACACTTAGGGGGCTAAAGGTGTGAATTTTGTCTAGAAAATTCACACGTTTACCCCCCCAAGTGTACGAATGAAATGTCGCTCACCTGCAGGTGAGCGACATTCACACACTTGCATTTCCAGTGCAGACACTAAAAACATATTGTTGTAAAATAAGATTTTCCGGGCAAGGGGTACGAGGGGACGGTGGGAAGGGAAGGGGCTCAGGAGGGAGCAGCCCGATGAACGAAGTGAGAACTCCCATCTCAGCCACCCTCCCCCTCCCCTCCCCCCCCCTCTTGTGCCGAAGTGTTTCTTTAAAGCCATGTTTCTATGAGCTGTTTTTGTCTTTCGGCATTTCCTTTTTTTTTTTAACTGTCTCGTAGTACTGTAATTGTTATTTGTTGAACGGTGTCGCGGTCGCGAGAGTGATTTTGATGTGGCAGAGCCGGGAGTCGAGCGAGTTTGGACTTGCCGTCCAAGTGGAGAGGGTCCGCCTCGGCTCGCTAACTTTCACACTGTGAAATTCAATGGTTTTTGAGTAGGAATGTGCGTGCTGGGTGTGATTTGCGGTGAGTCATGTTCTGGTTGAGGTTTCGGTGTAATTTTCAATCCTCTGTGAAGTTGGGAAGCTCGTATTTTGGTATTTGTTTGTGGGGGCCACCTAACCTCTTAGCGACGGTTTTTAGCATGTCAATATTCACTCATTTCTCTCTCAATTTCGTTCGTTCGGGGTAATCGTGTCTCTTCTATGCGTTATTTATTATTTTCTTGACGCCTCGTCATAATTTTGCTTTCGTGACGGACTCCAAAATCAGGTTTCGGTGTACTTTGTTCCACTCAATGCCCACAGTCAAGAGCAGGGTTTAGGGAAATATTGTGTATTTCGCGTGTGTGCGTCTTAAAATCGTTGTCGAAGGCAGGGAATCCATTGAAATGTGCATTTTTTTCGTGTTCTAACATTTTCTGTGTTTTGCAGGCATGAAGTTGATGAGTTTGAGATGTTGGTTTTATTTCTGGAGACGTTTGCGTGAAAGTTATCCAATGAGAGTGGCTAAAGATGTGAGAGAGCAATGTGGGTGAGTGTTGTTATGGTTTTATCATGACATTTGCAATTACTCCATGGTCTATTTGTTGTGGTAATGTAGCCGTCGTTTTAATTCAGGATGAGTGTTCAGGATTTGCTCGTCTTTCATCGTTTAACCTGGAAGAGTTATATAACTTTGCAAGCAGTCTACAACAGTAAGATTATTTAATTATGAATGTGTTTTCTATAGATTTTTGTTCCTTTTTGCAAAGTGTTGGGTGCGCACTGACTTGTAATGTTTTACTTTTTCCTCCTAGTTGTCCATTCTGATGCGATTGGCACATTAATTTTCAAATCCACCACTTGAGCCATGGATTTATTAATACGAGGAAGGATCGTGTTCAAAGGTAAGTCTGTATTGCCTGACATCTTGTCCTTTAAAGTTCTGTTTGGTTAAGAGAGAAAGTATGTGTATTAAAGTGTTCTCTATCTGCATTTATGTTATAGGATGTGAGCAATGGCAGCACTATTACCCTCTGTGAATAAGAAGTTACTCCTGTCATTGTGAGGCAACTTGTAGATCTGTTGTATTGAGATTGAGTAGAATTGCGGGTTTGTTATTGGTAAGAGTTTGGGATTCACACATGAGAGGACTTTTTTTGATATAGTGAGAACAGTTTTAATAATTATTTTGTTTCTATTCCAGCCTGTAATGTTTTTCAATGTGGACTAACTCTGTCGTTTTGTGCGCATGTCTCAGTTTTGCCTAGAATATGATCTTACGCTTGGCATGTAATTTGATAATCCTCTGAGTGCTCTGAGGTTGCCGTTTGGAAACATTCAAGACACAATAATTTTCATTGTGGGAACCAAAGTGGTAAGTAGTATGATTATACACATGAGAGTATGAAAATTGTATAGGGAGGAATATGGAGTGGTAGAATATATGAGAAATGTTGTTTCTTCAACAGGTTTTCAATTCATCCTATTCAATTCTGGTTTCTTTGATCGAGCATTTGAGGATACGAAGCAGAGACATTGCCATAGTGAGTTTTTATTTTCTATGCAATCTTTTTCTATCTTATCAGTTTTTGTTTCTGAAGTATTTTACAAAATGTCCATATTGTATATGATGTAGCTTGACATTTGGCCCTGTGACATTTTCTTGGTTCTTTGGAGGTGAGGGGCCCCTTTGCTTCTTTAACAAATAGAAGGTTATCAATTTTGTCCAAAAAAAGAAAATTAAGGAATAAAATATATTTATGACTTGACTTGAAATGAAAAGTCATATTGCTTCGATTGTTTTGTAGTAGTTAATATAGCAGTAAAAGTGACATTCTTTTAAAGCTAGTCCCAATTAAAAATTAGAAATGTTATCCTCATTTTATTTTTTGTAAAGCAGAACAAAGTAGTTGACCTTTTTGTTTCTGAGTAGAAACTTTGCAGTGTCATGTCATAACAAATGTGCAAGAATGTTGTTTCAACTGTGGTGTTTTACCTTGTAGGTGTACATGGAGACCGAATGACTGATCTGCATTTTATGTCTGGCGGGGCTGGCTGAGTTGGGTGAGTCTTGACTGAATTTCTGCTTGAAAGTTCACCCGTGATTGGCATATTTAGGTGGTCTTTAATTGCATGGAGCAGGAAGCACTAATACTGATTCAAAGTAGGCAGTGGTCTATTTCATTTCATACCTACTTTGACTTTTTATCAGTTGTTGTGTTTTTTCCCCCTGGCATGCAATGGTCTTATAAATGCTGTGGTTTAGATACACTGGAAAAACATATCTAGGACTTAATTCCTTTTAGAGTGTGTTCAATTTTAGTGGCTTTGTAAGGACACCACAAATTTCCAAATGTATTGAAATCTATCACCTTTTGATAGTTGTGCTTTTCCGTGAGTGCTAATTTTAAATGTCTTTCACAGTCCTTGCATTCTTATCAATCCAAGCTATGTTTTTCCAGTGTATTGTGTGAATTTCTCCCAAGATAAAATCAATGTCACTAAGTTTGATGAGAAGTTTGCACGCTACATGGACGTTTAGTTTTGACATTGAAAATCGCTTGTACAGTGTGATACAAGATGAGTCAACATTAGCTCATTACATTAGGAATGCCCATTTTTGTAAGGGTCCAAACCCTATTTGATGTAGCTGGGTTTTGCCTCAGATTGTAGAATTTTTTTTATTTTTTTTCGAAATTTAACAGTTGTACAAGAGACCGGAAGTAGTGTGCCAATCTTATAACTAAAGGATATCTTTTGAACCTGGAGCACATTTTCTTGTGTCATTCTTTGTGGCTCGCCCTTTCCAAATCAGGGCAACTTCAATTAAAAGATAGTTGGTGACAAAACAGGTTGGGTTGAATCCAATTTTTTTTTCTTCAATTTCTTTTTGTTGGGTTTCTAAACATAAATTTTTAGAGTCTGTTGCGCTTTGGGCGATGTTTTTCGACGAATATAAGCGAAACAAGTTATGCGCGCCTTTCCGTCAAACCGTGTGGCCAGCTCCACTTCGTTCCTCTGGCACCTCGGTTTGAACGGAAGTGGGCGTGGCTTGGGCTGCCGGTGGCGTTTGGTCGGGCCGAGATCCTCGGGTTAAGCAGCAGCTCCCTTTCTCGAAGGGTTGCGGCCCTCACATCCAGACAGATGCATTTAGTTGCTTATCTGAACCAGTTGCGATGGACCCTTTCACCAGAAGGGAAGTGATGAAGAAGGCGAATGAAAACAGACCGGAAACAGCTGCAAGCGTGCACAAAACACTTATTGATACAATGTAGGTCCTACCAGCTTTGATTTTGTTGTCATTTAATGAAAGGTTATATCAGTTTGGGTCGCTTGAAGTAGCTGTTTCCGGTCTGTTGTTCTTCTCCCTGCTCTTCACTTCGCTGCTTCTCCAGTGTCTATTCTTTACTTTGCGGATGACAAACTTGCCACCTCTCATTGGACGAATTTTAGTTCTGTGTGTAAGAACATTTTTCGTAAGTGTATTTCAATGGAGCGCTGAGCTGAAGGGAGAAGAACAGAAGAGGAATGTGGTAAAAGCTCCCGCACCGCTCCCCACTCCTTCCCCGCCTGTTGGTGGCGGGGGTGGGCGATCGGCCTGGTGGAACCAGGGGGTTGCCCGGTAGCCTTCCCCCCCCCCCCACGGTTTTGTTCTTCACTTTTGTGGTACGTGTACCCTCAATAGATGGGTCTGACTGAGGCGATTAAAAGAAGAATTCAGAATGTCACGACCGGAACCAGTTGTGAAATAACGGCTTAAACCAGTGCAGATGAACCCTTTCTCGTGGTCATTTTTGTCGATTCGCATTGATATCAATCAGAGTACTTCTCGCACTGTTTCCGGTCCCGATTTCCTTATTCTTATCCTCGAAATGAGCATAGTCGGAACCGTCGATTTTATGAAACAAAAAAGAATTCCGGTAAAGCTGAAAGCAGAAGAATGCGGGGAAGAAGAAAACGGAAGTCGCTATGCGTTACCATGGTGACTTCCGTTTTCTTGTTCCTCGCATTCTTCTGCATTTCAGCTTTACCGGAATACTTCATTCTGCATGTTGCTCGTATCTCACACACATCCGGTGGTGCTGATTTTCTTTTCCGTTCAGCGCTGCAAAACCGGATGTCGCGTGACCTTATAACTCCACCATGGAAGTGTGTGACATTCGAACATTTATTCGTTCGTGTCAAAATGTCACACACAAAACAGCGTGTGAAATTTGTGTCATACATTTAGAACTGGATGGCTTCACTGTCACTCCAGATTTGCTACCCTTACCACATTCCCGTGTCAAATAGGGCCCCACTTGATTCCCATGCTGCTATGCCGCTCCTAGAGAATGGTAGCATTCTTATCATGTATTTTGTGCAGTACTTAATGCGAAAATTTGAGTAACTCGGATTTCTTGCAAAATGTGGAGAGAAATACTGCACAAAACTGAGGCGACTCAAAGTATCGTACACAAGAGAAAATCGTCACAAATGCACTTCTTTTGTGATGATCATATCGACATCGTGCAATATTTTATTCCTCGCAGAAAATGTGTGGCCATTATCACCGTCTGATTTATAGCGTTCAACAGACCGTTCCGACAGTGCGCTTTTTGAGAAGAAATGAAGAAGTCGGAACCGGAACCAGTACCTAAAGTGCGCTTATTTTTGACATTTGACAGTGCAGTTCGACGTGAATGACCTCGATTAAATCTCTAGTAACTGTCAATTTTAGTTTTCACTAATTTAAGCCATTATTTTAGAACTGTTTCCGGTGGTGATTTCATTACTTATTCTTTAAACGGGCACTGCCGGAACCATCTATTTATGTACACTTGTCTGACTCATACGAGTGTGTGGCCTGTTTGTGTCACTCCCTGCGTGTGACATGGCAGGCATGCACACTTTTCTATGGGGCATTTTGGCGCGCAAGTCGAGGAGGTCTCAACTCCGTTGTACCAGGTGGCTGATTCACGCCGCGCTCTTCTGTAGTTATGCTGTACCGCATGCACGAGTGCGGGCGGGTTGCCTACTCGCTCGGCTCGTAAGGCGCCGTGGACAGGGGCGATAGGCAAGCCCGCCCGCACTCGTGCATGCG